CTGAGTGCCTGCTTATCTGCTATGAGACACCCTCTCTAGCTTGCTCTAAATATGACAGCAGAAACACAAAAACGTTAATCAAGCTGTCAGAAAAATGTAGCTCTAAACTTTCTGCTGCATTTAGACTTTCTGCTTACTGTAGAAAAAAATCTGAAACCAGAGAGGCAATGCTTGAAACCCTTACATAAGATAAGCGAAAAGGGGTAAACTATGAAAGCTAAATTGTAACATCCTTGCAATGCTGTGGAAATAAACTGATTTTTCTATAAGTTAATGATTAAGATTTTATAAAGTATATGTTATGAAACAACTTTAGAGCAATGGTGTTAACTCAGAGATAAATGCGTCACTTGATTGACATTTTCTGTCCTTTCTTCTTCCATCCCAATTCTTCCTGCAAACCCGTCACTCTCCACTTTCCTCATTCCAGGCGTTATAAGTGTAAAACAGTGTGTGTTGTAAAATGTCGAGGGAGTCTTCCTGCAGCATCTGACCCCTGCAGTGAGGTGCCAGAAGAAGGCACCATGACTGGACTCACTGTGACCGACAGAGAGACAGGAAAGAGTGTGACCATCCCTCTGTCCACCATAGAGACTGAGACAGGTAGATTTTGTCTAAGTAAGTAGTGAAATGACTTTTGTCAGTCTCAGTGGATTTGCATTAACTGAATTGTCTTAAATTAACAGAGAAAAGAAGGAGAGTCTCTGGGCTTGATACATCCTCTACAACAGTGCCCTCCTCAATTAACCTGGATCTGATCACCTCGGATCAGTACACTCAGGCATACTTGGATCACCTGTTCTCTGCTAAGGGTCCTGTGGCAGAGCTGGAAAACTACTTTAACAAGGCTAGTGAGAGACTGAGAGTGCTAACAACTGAACTGGGATGTAAAAGCAAGGCAGGGGTGGCTAATGGAATCGAAAAAAGTGAAGGAGTGCATCTTAAAGACCAGGCTGAAGGAACAGATGAAGTACAAATAGTGGAAAAGGTGATGATGGAAAGGAGAGGAAGACAGGGAGAGGAACATTTGAAACTCAGTATTGTAGAATCACAGCTAGAGCAAAGCCTTAATTCCAGTCAGCACAGTGCTACAAACCCATGAAAGTGCAACAGCCATATGACTTTTAGAAGTATGCATGCTTCTGTTCCAAAACTTGCCTTTTTGAGTGCTTTAATGCTCTCATGCCAACAAACAAGACTACATTAAGTGCACTACAAAAACAACTGACCACTGAACACAGCTCAACCTCAATGCTCATCGTCCTGTTTCTGTAGTTGAAGCAGAGGGGCCATCAGCCAAATTTCAGCCAGAAGGATGAAGGAAGGATGGTACCTAGTAGTACACTTGGAAATGTACCAACACAAAGATCTGAATTGAGATCCTTGAGAAGATTTCAGTCCAATAATGCTGATAATCAAAATTCTGCGATCATGGCATCATAAAATAACCCATTATGTATCGTTCTTAAGTTATTTTAATTTATTTAGATAAAAAAATATTGCTTAAGCAAAATGTAAGTTCCACAGACTTGTCTGCAGTGCTGTGAACCACGCAAAGTTCAGCAGCCTTGACTGAATATGAGCTTTGAATCTTTTTGTCTGTTGTTGAATTGGATTTTCTTTGTGTAGATACCCTCTTTAATGGGTCACCTTTTGTCTGTGAACAGTAATAAATAATTGATTGCAAAAAGTTTTTCTTGATTTCTTTTTGATACTTTTTTTTTACACTCATACTTTATTTCATTTGGTAACCTATTAAAGTTCATTCCCAGTAGGACAGTTACACTATACAAAGGAAAAAACACCCCGTGATTACTACATTGTCAAAGTTTTCATTTCAGAATTGAATACACCAAAAGGGCACTAACAGTTATCAATAACAAATTTCTGAGAAAAGTACAGGAAGAATTCTACAAGCAAGTATTTATTTTAGCTGATCTGAAATCCAGATGAGATAGAAAACACCAACAAAACCAAAAATCAACAGAAGAAACACACAGGAATGGGAGCAGGGATTTAAAATGATACAAACGATATCTGGACCAGAACTGAAATACTAACATAAAACTTAAGCTCAGCATAGAACAACTGGAAAATGAAGCAGAAGAGAGGATCGCAGAAAAGACATTTAGGTTGAAAAGAAATCAAGAGCACAAGAACTAATACTCCAGGTTGCTACTATAGTAACTGGATAAAAACAGGAATCAAAACCTCAAACTAAAAATAATAATAAAAAATGAAAGAACTGGAAAAGTGGGAATAAACGTAAAACTCAAAACCCAGAAACCAAAACAATGGACCAAACACTATCTTTAAAAATACTAATAACAGACATTAAAATGGAAATGATAAAAATGTTAACAAGGTAAGGCATTAAAATCCCCAAATTTAAAAAAAAAAAGTATAACTAACTATAGCTAACCTCGGCAACATGGTGTTGCAGAGGTTAGCAATGTTCCCCCACAACAGGTACTGGTTTGAATCCGCTGGTTGGCTGGGCCTCTTCTGTTTATTCTCATAGACCAAACAGACATTCATGGACTTGGGTTAATTAGTTAGTTAGTTTGTTTGTTTGTTAATTTATTTCGATCACGTAAACAATATACAGGTACGTTTAGCAAAGAAAATAAGAGAGAAAAAAATACTATACAAAATAAAGTTAATACATTTCAGTATTGCTTCTGTTAGTGATTCAAATTTGGCCATAGATGTAGATTTAAGTGTAAATGGTTGCATGTCTCTCTGTGTTAGCTCCTGACCTGTGAAAGGTGTACCTGAACTTTTGCCCTATGACACTTGGAAGAGGCTCCAGCTCCCCTGAATTGGACACATGGAAAAAAAATGGATAATTTTTAATCCTGAATTTCAAATATGGCGTCTAATCAGCAACAAGAGAAGCAACTTTAGATTGCATCTTGTATAGTTTTCTAGTTTTCTTGCAATCAGGTATAAAAGTGACATTTCACACACGTCCTATGGTGGAAACATCACAGTGCATTGACAGTATGTGGTGTAAATGTGCCCATTTTAGCATGTTGATAACACCTTTGTCTTATGTCTTCAACACTGCTATAGTGTGAATTGTGATGGCTTACAATGTAAATGTACTGTATCCAACTCTGGCCTGGATAAGAAATTAATAGAAATGATTTATGAATTAACAACATTATAGCCAAGGAAACATATATTCCTGTGGTACAGTTAGCACAAATTCTGCTTTATAATAAAATATATATCATATATATATGTTCTAAAGTTTTTTAGGCAATCTTTTCAAAAGACTGGCATTTTCTTTTCTTTTCTCTTTTGTACTTTGGACCTTTGGCTTGGAGAAAAGTGTGCTGAAATTACATGGCTTTCTTTCTTTTAAGTCTGTCTCAAAAGGTCAGAATCATAATGACCAGTCCACCACCTGCACAAGACAGTTTTGTCTATGTATGTGACAGGAAGTCCATGCGCTAAAAGGGGACATTCACAGGAGAGATGGCACTCTCCCTCAAGTGTGCCTCACTTAGAAAGGTTGAAAAGATGCTTTCTGTCTCCGTACTGTGGCGTGCGCGATGCAGTAGGTGGGCGAACAGACTGCAGGAAGGAGCCCTTATCTGGTGTATAGCTGCAGCACTGCGTGAATGTCAAGACAAGAGGGAGAGTGTAAGGATTTCTATGTGTGGGTGTGTTGGCATGAGTGTGTGAGCATGCATCTCTGTATAACTGAATTGAAGGAAGATGTATCCAGGCAAAATAACGAGTGCTGGACATAAAGATGTGAGAGTGATTATAGTTTTGTGTTTACATAAAATGTGTGAGCTACATAGACAATAAGAGATGATAGTGATGACAGATTGTAGCACAAGTGTTTAATGGGTTTTTGTGTGTGCGAGCTTTAGGTCCTGCTAACTGTAGATGAGTCACACTTTGCAGTTCCACTTACTTGACTCTTCTCTGCTAATGCTGTCTTATTAGTTTTAGTTCTCTCGCTGTTTTATTCTCCTCTTTTCTTTTCCCCCCTTTTTTCAGCGGCTATTAGTGTGACTGTATTATTCAAATTAATGCAAATCTGACTGGCTTTGTAAGCACAAATGGGTATTCATATACACTATAGAGTATTAGCAAATCTAAAAGTGAAATTATTCACATAGCATCTTTTCTCATGAACTGTTTATTGTTTTGTACTCTCTATTTCTCTTTGTTTAATTTTAAACTTTCATTCCATACTGTCTATCTCTGCTCTTAACTGTCCATTTTTTTTCAAAATCAATTTTCCTGACTCTGTCAGTCTGTGTTTTTATTCTTGAGGCGCATTGTCTTTTTCCAGCTGTCCATCTCTGTTCAGGCCCATTTATTGGCAAGGTAAAATGCTGCTATTATAACCAGGTATTCATAAAAACATCAAAAAATAGGACATATCTCAGGGGACATTGATTCATCAATTTAGAAAAGAAACAGAATGGCTACAAAACAAGCATTATTACCATCATCGTCATCATCAAGAGGTAGCTATTTTTCTAGGAACATCAATCCGGTAATTGCATACAATCTAAACTCAACCTACTGTTGTTTTTCAGGATAATAATGTAACCAGTTCTCATTTTAAACTTTAAATATTGCTCTTTTGTAAAAGTCTCTCAATGAACTGACATTTATAATTTGTTACATTTTTCAGATCTCATCTTCACTGTCTGTTAGAAGGTGTAGTCCTGTTGTTTTTGACGAACGATGACTTCAAGCGCATGCTCAGGGAGCTGATTGTGAAGTGGCTGGGATGAGAATTAGCACATCAAAGTCTGAAGCTGCGGTTCTCAATCTTAAAAGGGTTTACTGCCTACACCAGGCTAGAGATCAGTCTCTGCCTGAAGTGAAGAAGTTCAAGTACCTTCAGGTTTTGCCTTCAGGTGAGAAGATTGGAGCAGAAGACGGGCTGGTCTGATGTGGTGAGAAGTGAAGCTGTCTATTTACTGGTCAGTTTGTGTTCTACATTCATGCATGTGCCACAAGATGTAGTAGTGATTAAAAGAAAAAGATCAGAGATTCAAGCAGTGGAAATGAACATTCTCTGAAGGAATCTTGGGCTCACTCTTTAAGATAAAGTAAAGAGGTGAGTCAGGGTAAAATTGGTGCTCCTCTACAAGAGAAGAAGCTAATTGAGGTTGTTTAGGCTTATCTGGTACATTTCAGACCAAGAAGAGATCCTGGAACAGATGCACACAGGCTAAGCTCGAGATATTACATCACATAGTTATTGGTATTCACAGGAAAAAGAGAGGGCTGAGCAATTTTGCATACACAAGTGTTATATTTTCCAATTCAGTGATTATAGGCAGGAAATTGTACATTTCATTACATGCCCGCTCGTGTCCTCCAACTGAACTTGGAAAAAGTGTAATAATTCACGTGCTTGGCCAGTAATGATGCACTTGTATTACTGGATCTAGACAAATAGGGGAAAATGTGTGGATAGTGCTGTTACGCTTGTCTTGATTATACAAAATATTGCAGTCATGTTTACTGGGACTTACAGTCTTATTTTACACAGTTACCTTATCTTTGCAAAAAATAAAAATACAAAATAAAACACACACAGACACACACAAAGGATCAGTATCAATCCTAACATTTACATTGCACACCATTCCCAGACCACCCACCCCTCCTGAACTACTCAACCCTAATAAGAATGTCTGACATTATAATCAACTAGAAAGGCTGAGTGGGTGAATCCAATGCCAAAACCATATTTTGCAGTTTCAGAGAACAAGAGTTTTATATTTATTTAATTATTTCGCTTAATCTTGCTGATGAGAAACTGAACCTGTTCACCTCGGCAGTGGTATTTATGCATACTTCCAGCAGATATAGCATAATTACACACATTTATACTAATGTGTCGATATCTGTAGACCTACAACATGTACATAATAAACAGCTCTGTATCTTATCTTGCTCGCTATGTATGTTTACCTTTGTCTTTTGCCTCTCTACCTATCTAAACTTGGTGGAATCTATATGGAAAAACATTTCATAGGCGCCTCCAACTTAAACATTCTCTGTTAAAGTAAGTTAACTCCACTTTGCAGGCTCCGATTATGTGGGAGTAAATACAGGTGTATTTGAGAGCACCTATGTCTGGACTTCCATGTGTGTCTGTGTAAGTGAGACTATGTTGCTTTTCCCGTCTCCCCTCTCCAGTCCTGAGTAGAGGTGTGTGTTAGCGTGTGTCCGTGCTTGTACGCTACATTTGGTTGTTGTGAAAGCGTTGCCCAGGCAACAGATAATCGCCACAGTAACTCGACATCATCACATCGCCCACAGCCTCTTAGCAGAGAACAGTCACTGACACATGGTAACCTGCTGTCGAGTGTGCACGTTTGTGTGTCTAAGTGTACTCTGTGTGTATTTGTGTCAGTGGATGTGTTAGATCATGCTTTGTATGTGCATGTTCATGTGTGGGTGTCTGCAAATCAAAGAAAAGAGGACTTGGTGATCAACTTCTGCCAAGCCAAAGGGTGAAAGACGAGCAAGATGGCCAAGAAAAAGAGAGCTAGAAGGTAGAAGGGAAAGGAAGGAGAAAGAGAGGAGAGAGGATCAAAGAATCAAAGACATGGTTCAAGGTGGTGTAACAAACTCAGGGAAGGAATACGCAGTTAGGGCCGTCATTTCTTGAGCAGAGACACAATTTGTGTAACTTTGCTTCTACAAATTACCACAGTGGATTTTAATTCATACATTCAACATGTAATTTATGTGGAGGCTTTCAGCTTTAATTCAAGGGGTTACACAAACATCTGTTGAGGAGTTAGAGCCAGGAGTAAGCCAAAATATGCTTTCAGTTATTAAATACAAAACTGAAGAAAAACAAACAGCAACTGAAGGTGGCAAAGTAGAGCATCACAAGGGAGAAAACATATCATTTGGTCAGGGGGATTAACGCAGGTGGACTCAAATGTGGGTCCTTTAGAATAAAAGTTCAATAGTTTATCTACAAGCAGGAAATATGCAACAATGTCTTGAGGCAAATGCTCTTAATTTTGCACAGGCTCAGATCCGCAAAATAGCAACCCAACAAACAGAACAACTCTCAGAAGACACAAGACAAACATAGCAGGATTTCCAGCACAGACGGACATTAAAGGTGATGATTGATGATCAGGCACTGGATGAAGGGCGTCTCTCCATTTAAGTAGAGGCAGTGGAATCACATAATGAATCACAGGTGTGCTCATTAACACTAGGTGTGCTGGGACGAAGAGCAGGAATCCCAAAAGAATCCTGCCCCTGGAAACAGAGGCATGGTTAACACGTTTGTTATATAATAAAGGGGATAAAGCGGAGAGAGATTTTCAGAAATTTTCAGAAAAGAGACAAAGGTCCCTTTTCCATTATTACCTACTCGGAGCGACTTGACTTGATCTGTTGACTCAGATCAACATTTCCATTACAAGTTAGCACCTCCAAATGTGCGTGGTTGTTGTCATAGCATTAATTATGTCGCGTCCCATGACGTAATCACTATGCAACACAAACACTACAACAAAGATGGAGGTCAAGGGGAAGATATACCTGCTGCCCAGTTCGTGGCTTTTCTTCACTCCCAGGGAACACTGCGTTGTTTTTTTGTAGCCATTTCCCTCGCTGCTGGGTTTCAAAATAGGCAGTTTTGATTTTCGTG